AGCCAGGGTTCGTATATGACTCACTTACCTCTCGATTACCGTGATAACTTGTGTGCCAACCTTTTATTCGTTTTCTAAACCTCCTATTTTTTTTATTAGTAACCACTTGGTTTTCTGGTTAACCATGATACTGCTAAGCAGAGCTAACCCCTCACATACTGTTATGCAAACCCTCGACCTAGCATGTCAGGCGCGTGTAAAGCCCATCAACCTGCTAGCAACGTTCTACATATATTAATTCTATTTTCTGCAGATTAAGTTATGGAACAAATTTGTTCAAGTTGATAGATGCACAACAATCCCAACTAAAATATAAAATGTAGACTGCGGTATGCATGTCTTGGTTGAAGGCCAACTGGTGGCAGGGCGTTGATAGACAAAAAGATAGTTAAATCACCGAAGGCAGCAGCTTATACTCCCTCGATTTCAAAATATACAAGACACAAACACTTTTTTATTTCATAATATATATAAGACGTGGATGTATGCATACAATTAACTAGCATCTTCCACTCCTCTTTAATTCGTTCTTTTAAATCTTCACCCTTAAAATCTCTATTCCTTATTGGGTATATTTATTATATTTATTGGATTGATCTAAACGGGAAGAAGATAATAATTATTTATTGATCTTTATGTTAAAGTTAAGCCTTATATTTTAGAATGGAGAGAGTAATAAACATAATGTATACTATGCTTAAATATTTATTTAGATGGTAATTAGCTATAAGCCACTCTTAGAGCAAGTACCATAAACCCTTAAGCGCGCACTTATTTCAAGATGCCATCTGAGCTAATATGGTGAGGTGGAGAAGAGAAAAAAAAAAGAGAGAGAGTAGGAGCCACCCCTCATGTAAGGAGCAATCTTTACGCAAACTCCAAAAAAAGGATAGAAAATAAAAAGTGGATTGGACATACAAATAAAATGAAAATATTAGGAATAGTTTGCTAGAGTTAGTGTAGAAGTGATATATTGTACACACTACCTCTTAGCTTATATGGATAAAATTAAAGGTGTCAATTACCTCTTCTATAAAATTTGGTGTGTCTTCCTGTGATGATGTCTATGCATGTCCTATTGGTTTTCTAGAAGACCTACCTACCAGCCTAGAATCTACTTGAGCAGCACCAATCCATTTGGCAAATCTAGAGGTGCATCATTAGTGCACCTTTCTGACCCAATCATAGCTTAATACAGGAGTAGATATTTATGCATAAACACACGTGTATAGCTGAATACATTTTTTTAATATGAAGAGGCGGATTAATTTCAGATAAAAAAGATATATAGACATGTCTGTGGTAGACCAATGCAACACATGCTCTTAGCTATGTTTGTAGTTCTTAAAAAAAAATTATGCCTGTTTATCCCTGAATCTCTCATGCATGTATGTTGGCTCGACCTAATATCTAGCTAGGCAGTAGGGAAGCTAAATGTACCAAATTAAGAAGTAAATTAAGCAACATATATATATAGGTTAATTAGGTTGTGAAAGAAAATAAAATGTACATTAAATTTCATAGAACCGTACGATACTTTAACCAAACTATCACAAAACTACATATTAAAATATATGAATCACAGAACTACAAATTTAGCGCTAAATTTATCATAAAATTATAAATTTAAGGAATCATATCACAAACTACAGATTTAGTGATGAAGTTATCAAATAACTACATAATTTAGAGTTTATATCCATAGTATTATATTGAGATTACACAAGTTGTAGTTTTATGATAAAAATTGATGTTAAATCTATAGTTTTCTGATACGATATCTTAAATCTATAAACATGGTGTTAAATCTGTAATTTTGTGATACACAATTTTAAATCTATAGTTTTATGATAGGTTGATCAAAATACATGTAGTTTTGTGAAATTTACTGTAAAATAAAAATATCATGCCAGTATATACTAGAACCTCTATATGTTTCCTTGCAAAAATAATCTCTATATGTTCCTTTTCTTTAAAAAAAAGATAAGAGAATCTCCATATTTTCACATCCCAGACGAGAGGTTTTTAATTAATTTAGTTGACAATGGAAAAAAAATGTTTTTTACCACAAAAAGATGATCATGTAGCCATCAAATTCACACAAACATATATATATATATATATATATATATATATATATATATATATATATATATATACCTTCCTAGATTGTAGATTTGTGGTTTGTCCCCCATGGCCCATACAGTGATGCATGCACATGCTCAGTTTGACTTTAATTTACCTTACCGCTTCATATGGTTGACCATGCATGCATGAGAGCAGCCTGCAGGTAAATACATCACATATTGACCTAGCTAGCTACAGGTTGTATATATCCTCCGCATCTTTGTGTTCACTCCCTGTAGTCACCATGAAACAAAGATTGATGTTTGCCCCATTCATCGTCAAATAGGTAGACATCCTAGACTAGTCTTGGAGCAAGTACAATAAGTGATATAATCAGTTTTAAAAATTATTAGGGATTTATGGTTAAATGAAGGAGAGAGGAGATGGGGGAGAAGAAAAGTGTGCTACAAAAATTGTAGCTTCTCCTTTAAAGAAAATTGTAGCTAGCTACATCATGGGCTTTAAAAACATTGTGTGCATACAAGAGGTAAGCTAGGTATTAATGGTGCTAGCAATATATAACTACTGTATAGATACACTATTAAATTGGTTATAAATGACATATATGTCTATTTTTAGAGCTAGTAGTTGGCTGATAAGATTCTTAAGAACGGGCGCTTAGAGTATTACAGTCCAATCTCAAAACATTACTAACTCACTAATACATAGAAAACTACTAAGATTTGAAATGTAAAAAACAGGTTGATAGATTTATCATGAGAAATACTTGCATGCAGTTATGTTTTAATTTCTCCTTGATTTTTTTATTTATGTATATATATCATTAAAAATAACTAAATCAAACATGTACTTTGGAGAGACATCAATGTATTGTCCAAAATAACATGCAAAGAAGAAGGGGCAATAAAGAAGAAGGATGCAGGGAGTAGCTATATGCCCAGTACCTTAGTTTAATTTGTGAACATTGACACCAATCTCATCACTTGTAAATCTTGTTATGTTAAATAGTTTGCTAACTGGTGAAGCTTTAATTTACTGCGTACAAAAATCTAGTTAGTACTATTATCAAAGGAGGGCAGCTAGTCCATGGGATACCGTGGAAAAGTGAAGTCATGGGACAATTTTTATGTGTGATTAATTAGTGTACAACATGTTGTACCACAGTCACCGGGTACCACCGTACCAGGTATCAGATATCAGGTATCACAGGTATCTGGTACCAGGTGTCAGGTATCACAGGTACCAAGTATCAGGTGTCACAGGTATTAGGTACCAGCTGTCACAGGTACCAGGTACCATGCAACTGGTACCATACTGGTATCAGCATAGCAGCGGAAAAGCGAACACCAGTCAAAAAGAGAGAAAAATAAAATCTATGTTACATAATATCATTGTGTCAATTAATTTACACAAGATACTAAATCTCAATGTGTCTCACTCAAGAAAAGAAACAAAGCAAGAAAAGGAGAAAACGAAAAATTAAAAATGACCATGGTATATAGAAGATGTAAGTCAAGCCTACAGAGGTGCATGCCCAAATTGATTCACATGGCCCAAGTGCCCAACCAGTGTATCTAGAGGCCTCGTGCTGTAGGAAGGACACATACACGTGGATGTGTTGTGGAGTATAGACCTGCCACTTAGTAAGAAATCGTGCCGCATGCGTGTACAATTGTTTTGATGGAAATAATGTAGACCTTTTAAGTCATCTCGTTCCTACGGGATGCCGTTATCTAGATTTTCTGTTATCAAAGAGTTTGAGGCGCCAGTATATATTCAGGTGTATTGGGACGCATGGTCGTTCGTTGAACGGGCCTAATATTATCGGCGAGCCCAGCCCATGCGCAAGCCCGGCCTGATTAATTTATTGGGCCGCACGTGCGTCCTCAAAAGAAAAAGAGAGCCCAATCCCATCGTCCTCTCTCATTTTAGCCTCTATTCTGTTTTCAGCAGGCTTAAATTAATTAATTAATTAATTTCTCCCGTCAAAAAAATTAATTAATTTCTGAAACAATTTTGTGCAGGTTAATATATGTGCAGAGAAATGAATCGATCGACTTATTAAGGCTTAACAAGATGATTTACTTGGATGGACCTACCACCTTCTCTGAAATCCTTTTATTTGCTCAAATAATTAATTGTTTATGTTGATGCTAATCGTGATATTGTCTACACAGATGGAGAACGAACGGGTGCATTGTAGCTATCTCAATCCATATGCATGTCCTATTATTTCACATACATCATTAGCGTCCAGGAAATAGTTTATATGTAAAACTTTTATATGTGTTCATAACGACTTAAAAGTCAATGTTGAAAAAAAAACTATAATACAAAAATCAAAATGAACTATAAACATAAGATTTAAATTTTAAATTTTGGCCATGGCCTATAAACTGAAAAGTTAATTTCTATGTGAATGTTTTGGTTGCATTTCTGAAAACGTGTGTCTACGCTATGTACGTGCACGACTGTATAGCAAGCATGTTTGCAGTCTTGGAGACTCGCAGGGAGCATTGGAGCCTTAATTCCCTCCTCATGCATGAGGTTTTCTCGGTTAATGACAGTAAATGAGATCCATTAACTTGCATTAACCTGCCATTTATCTCTGGCCACCCCAGTTTAAGGGCACTACTAAGTTGTTGCTTAGATTTTATTACCAAATGCTATATCTCCTCTCAGAGATTCAGGAGACATTACTCGATATCTCCTATTCAGATTCTGAAAATCTCACCATGGATTTCAGCTGCTTCAATCCCCAACCAGCAATCTCTCATGGCATTCCATTTGATTCCTTTCTGCTGCAAGATGAGCTCCATCATCATGCTGATCTTGATCATCCATTTGAAGCTGAAGGCATCACTGTTCATGGGTCTGAACTTGAAGGTGGATCTGTGCTTCCTTTTGCAACTCTTCATGATCTTGATCATGAGTTCTTCAGAAGAGGAAGTAGGAAGGATTTCATCGACAATGCTTCGTCGATCTTTCTGTTGAACCCCAAGACTGAGGTTTCTCATCTTGTAAGAGATGTTCAAGTTGGAGCATTTGGTGCGTATGAGATGAATGGCAGGTTGATTTCAAGAAACAAGGCGTCAAGGAAAGGTATCAAGAAGGCTGATGCTGTCAAAGGCCACTGGACAGTGGAAGAAGACAGGTAAAAGAAAGATGAATTTCTTTTTTGTTTTTTTCTATACCAAGTTAACTTTGTAATGCTCTTGTCCACTGTAATTTGAAATCGTAAGGTGGATGAACTCTTTGTGATTCTGTCAAGTAGTAGCATACTTGATAATGTTTTTGTGCACTGTAATTTGAAAGTTAAAACTGTAAGTTGGATGAATTCTCTGTGATTCTGTCAAGTACTACTATGCTTTGTAATGGTACTGTCCACAGTAACTAGAAATCACAAGTTTTGCTCTCTGTACAACTGTACTCTGCCAGTGATGAGTAAATTGAGTTCTTCCAAATTTTGATAGGAAGCTGGTGAAATTAGTGGAACAATTTGGACTGAAGAAGTGGTCTCTGATAGGGGGGATGCTGCCTGGAAGAGTAGGAAAGCAATGCAGAGAAAGATGGTTCAACCATTTGAGGCCTAACATCAAGGTCACTCTCATTTCCTTGTGTTTCTATGCTTTTCATTTCTTCTTTCAGAATTTCAGTTTACTAGTAGTATTTATGAATTTCAGATATTCAACTTACAAGTTATCTTTTTTTAAAAAATATTATCATGAATATATATTTGAGGCCTAACATCAGGGTCCTTTCCCTTGCCTTACGGTTTTCAATCTATAGCTAGTGAAAGGGAATGCATATGCATTTTCATTTCTTAAATTTCAGTTTAGCATGCCTAGAATTCAGATATTCAAAACAATAGGTGATTTTACAAATATTAGCATCAATAGATATTTCCGTGAGACCATCATATATTCCTAGGATTCATGGACAGAATAGTTAACTTTTCTGTTCAAATACAAATGCAGAAAGATACTTGGAGCGAGGAGGAAGACATGGTTCTGATACAGATACACAAGGAAGTTGGCAACAGATGGGCAGAGATAGCAAAATGCCTACCTGGAAGAACTGAAAACTCCATCAAAAACCACTGGAATGCAACAAAAAGACGGCAATTTGCGCGACGGCGCAACCGTTCTACCTCCAAATCAGGAAGTACAGTTCTGCAAAACTACATCAAAAGTCTTGCCATTTCTCCACAAGAATCACAGATGAACAATGAGAGGTCAGAATCTAATCCATCTGACATGATGATCACCCAAGGGACACCCTGCTGCTTTGATGGGAACAATTGCAGCCAAAGTCACACTTCTGAAGAGAATATAGTTCCTAGCTGTGGTGATTTTGCAGCTGAAATGTGGAGTGGTTTGTTTGACACAAAGGAAGATGAGGAGGATGAAGCACAATACCTGCTCTATGACATGGACACTCATGTTGACATGAACTGTATTTTCAGCAATATGGATTATGGTAGTAACATTGAGCCTGGATTAGCATCAGTTGTGAAAGCAGAATGTTCAGCAGAAAGCTGGGCTGTGAATTTGAAGGAGACGGATTAGTTAAGAATTGAGATGATGACAGATTAACATGCACTCAAACTTGCAGCTAGGCAGCCGTCCTGGAACAACAGTGATGGTGTGTATATATGTTACTGGAATTACTCGGATAATTTTACGACCTTTTTAAATTTATCCTGTGAAACTATATAGCAGTATTAGTAAGATAGTAACAAAAAACAATATTACTTTGGATCTTTGTTATATATTCTGTTAGTACTTTAAATGCGTGATCTCTTGTTCTTTTCGTGCACTATTTTCTCCTGATAATTGCTAATTCTCATGTTTTTATTTTCATCGAAGCGTGTATCACTATTTTTTTTTCTTGATCAAGATCAATTAAACAACTCTTAGTTCTAGTCCTAGAATAATCAACTATTCTTAAGGGTCTTTTTTTTTCTTGAATAAATAATCGATGGTACAAACAAATGGACTAACTATTCTCGTTCTATGGAATAGTTCCATTCCTTAGAAAAGAGAACTCGCATGTAAATTTTATTCAGTAGCATAATAATATACAAGTAACAAAGGGATCATATATCCCGTCTACTTAGGCCTGTTTTGATGACATTGGCATCGAGGACTTATTCGTATTTTTTTTTGAAAAATGACTTATTTATAATAAAAATTATTTACAAACCGCTCTTTAATACTAGTATTATTGGTGTCGAGGACTTATTTGTAAATATTTTTTATTACAAATAAGTTTTTTTTATCACAAATAGGTTCTTTTTAGAAAAAAATTACAAATAGGTCCTATCATTGGCGTCATTCCCCATCATATAAGTGACTTAGCTTCTCCAGGAGACTAGGGGAACGATGCCAATGTCTTTGGCTCAGTCATGTTGAACCACGGCGCCAATGATGTTGGCGCCGCGAAAAGGATCCATTTAGTATTTTTAAGATTCGTGCATCACACTTAACCCTAGCTTCTCCTGCTTCCTCGTTCCCACTCCCTCCCCCTCCTGTGCGTATCACCGTTGCCATGGAAAGCTCACGATCCCCCCACCTCCTCTGTCACAGTCGCCCCCACACAGCACCACCGCCTGGCCCCGCCGTCTTCCCCATCTCCAGTGGCTCCTCGCTACCGGATCCGCTATCACCGGCCGCCTCATAATCCTGTCGCTCCGCTTTGCCCCCATCACTAGCACTGGCCCACCGCCGGCTACCAACTCCACGACTTCAGCAGCGGCGTCGCCACCTTGCCACCCACCCGTTCCGCCGCCTCCCATGGCCATCCCTCTAAGGTCGACGAATTCCTCCTTCCCCTTCCCCATCTCTAGCCCCACCTAGAACCCTAAACCCTAACTTCCCTGCCTTCGTCGGGGTCACCGGCCCTGCTGGAGCTTGAAAAGAAGGTGCCACCGGAGCTAGAGGAGAAGGGCTAGGATCGCTGGAACACAAATCATGAAGCAAATCTCAAGGTTAGAAATCTACAAGATTTTAGCCCCAAAAATCTAGGATCGCTGGAACACGAATCACGAAGTAAATCTCAAGGTTAGAAATCTACAGGATTTTAGCCCTAAAAATCTATCACCAACCATTTGGCCATTTCGGAAAAAAAATGACACAAAAATGTGCTACTACTACATCATATCAAACCACCCAGAGCTCAACCATGAGTAAATCCATTAATTTCTGCCGATTAAACCAATGATGAATGAAACTGAGTTTACAATGAATGATCACTAATTAGAGCACAAATGAATGAATTAAATACAAGCAAGACGATAAGTTGATATTTTCCCGCGTTAATCCATATGTAAAAGACGGAGAACACAAGTTAGCCATTGATAAATGCCAACTCTTTAGAAAACACTACATCCGTTTTTTAAATATATGACGCTGTTAATCTTTTTACATCATGTGATCATTTGTCTTATTATTGTTTGATTTATCCCTGAAGAAACTTTATGCCATATTTCCAGAGTAACCACTTCTTCTCTATATGAGAATATAGGGTATGTTCGTTATTACTAGTTCCTAACCAGAACCCTCCACACGAAAAACGGAGCAGTTCATTAGCACGTAATTAATTAAATATTAGCTAATATATATTTTTTTCAAAAATAGATTAATTTGATTTTTTAAGCAACTTTCGTATAGAAACTTTTTGCAAAAATTGCACTGTTTAGCAGTTTGAAAAGTGTGCGCATGGAAAATAAGGAAGGGGGGTTGGGAAAAGGGGTGTCCGAACACACCCATAATTATGTACACAAGTTTCTCATACACACTCTGTGTATACCAACTAGTAAAAGTTATAAAAAATTAGACACATACGTCCAACAGTATTACACCTACATTTAAAAATCTTATCTTCAAATTTATTACATTTTAACCTAAAAAGACAAAATTCTAACAAATTTTTACTCTTAAAATTGTCATATTTTTTAAACTTTTTAGGCTAAAATATAAAAAATTTGTATATGAGACTTTGCATATATGTTTAATACTATTAGAAGTAAATGTCTATAATTTTCCGTGACATTTGCTGGTTGCTAGGATATATTCTCTCTCCTTAAAAAAAAAAGGATATATTCTCTCTCTACATAATCACCGTGTCTTAATACCCCTCGTCTCCATCGCTTCCGCCACCACCGCAGCGGCGGCGGCGGCGATTCCGGCGAGCCCCTCTCCTCCCGCCTCCGGCCAGTACGCTCCCACCGCGGCGGCCACGGGGAACGGCACGAGCTCCCGCGGCAGGGCGATGGCCGCCGCCCGCTTCGCCGGTGTCCCTCGCCGCGCGGCGCAGTCGTCGTCGTCGTCGTCCCAGGCGCCCCTCGACGAGCCGCCTCCGCCGGCGCTGACGCCCGAGCAGGTCGGTCTATGCAGGGAGGCGCTCGAGTACTTCGAGGGGATGTGTGGCCGGCCGGAAGCCATGTCCGACGAGTTCAGGAGACTCCAGGTATGTATGTACTGTGTTCGTCCGATTTCCTCGTCGTCGTGATGTGAATGTTTGATTGATAATGTGTTGCTGTTTCCTCCCTAGTTTGGCTAACTACTAGATTGTTCAGGCTAATTCCGTAATTGAATACCTGTTTTAGCGATCCTATATTTTCTGTTTGCATCTTACAATGCAATTTGGTCTGCTTGTTCATAGGTTCTGTATCCCCTTTTGTGTTATGTATGTTAAGTGAGTATAATTTTGCATGTAGGTTTGAAAATTACTGATCATTATTACTGACACACACAGGCTGTGACAGACTAGCATTAAGTGGCTTTTCTGAGTGAAATGAAGAATTGTAATCAAAGTGACAGATGTGCAGTCCAAATTACTTTGGGTTATGCCCTATCTTCACATAATTTATTTGTTGGTGTATTTAGTTATGCTTTGCTTTGAAGTGAAGCACTTTGATTGGGTTGCTTTCAACTGAAGCATTGGGATGTGATGTGATGTGATACAAGTTTCAGTACATGAAGTGGTAAGCTCGAAAAAAAAAAGGAAAAGAGCAAAGAATTACGAAAAAAAAGGAGAAAAACTGAGCTAAAATAGTGGCCTCAGCCAAGTTCACTATGCTATAATACATCAATGAGTAAAACAAAAGTAGGATTGGCATTTGTTGTTGCTATAGATCACTACTCCTGTCAGTCTTGAACTTGACATGTATAAAAAGTTATCTGGTCCTTTGATGCCATTTCTGGATTTAAGAAACTTAAAAGTTTTCTCCCATTGATCTACTAGATACAGACTCAATAATATCTGTGAATACATCTTGTTTGGAGAACTTCCAGTGTTCGACTAATGTCTCGTTGTTGGAATCAATATTAGTCAATTCTATAAGCTGTCATTGGAAATTTTGTTGGATAAAATTATAAGGAACATCTCGGTGATTTTCTTAAGATGGTATTGTGGCCAATTGGCCGTATCAACTGGTGCAAGATATGATGGACTGGGTGTTCTTTGTGACTTGCACATAAGAAAGCTTAAATTCGGTATTCCATGATTTCAATCACAACTATATGAAAATCTATATTGTTCAAATATAACTGCTACTAGATTAGCTGTGAATAAAGCAATTACTTACAATTATAACTCACGGTTTTTTTTTTTGGGCAGACTCTATTAATACTCACACTGATTAAAAAATATTCCTTCTAAGAGAAATTTTCTTGCACAAGATTGCAATTCACTTTTATTGAATGATTTTTTCTCCTCAGAGGATATCTTATCACCTGTTAATAACTATATTTTGATAGCATTCCATATATCATGGTCATTTCTTCAGGACACGAGACACGAGCTGATGAGAAGTTCTAATGAAGCTCGTAATGCTGCAAATAGGGAGAAAAACCGCTATATTGATGTCGTACCATGTGAGATTTTTTTCACCTGCATATGTAATTATGGTGATTATACCGGTGCCCAACCAGCAGGGTCTCCTTGAAACTTTGTGAACTTAATAAAAGTTGAACCCTTTCTTGTCTTTAGTTGATACTACCAGGGTAAGGCTAAAACGATCAACCACCAGTCAGACTTCAAGCAATGATTATATCAATGCAAGCTTTATAAAGGTATATATATATATATATACTGCAATTCTTTTTCACTTTCTGAATAGTGCCTGGGACAATTGAGCATCTGTACATGTGGTTTATGAAAATTGCAGGTCACTGAGGACAACAGAGTTGCAAAATTTATTTCCACTCAAGGTCCACTAGCCAAGACATTTGATGATTTCTGGGAAATGGTCTATGAATATCAATGTCCTGTTATTGTTATGCTCACACAATTCGACAGTCTTAAGGTGCTTGCTTACATAAACAATCTCCTCAGCATGTTCTATTGAATTGACATTCAAGTGAGATCCTGCTTAGCTGGTATACTTACATGCATAGTCTTGCATACACATGTGAACCACAGGCAGAATAACAGTATGAATAGCTGAATTTGTCTTAAAAGAGTAATAAAAATGCCTGATGTTGATTTCATATCATAAAACTATATCTTGAGAGGTTGAATCAATCATATAACCTAAACAGCATCATTAAATGCAATTCCTTTGGGAGAAAACAATAGGTATTGCTCCTGAGGATATAATGTAAACATTTTTAAAAAATAAAAAGTAGATCTTAGTTCAGGATCCAAATATACCTGTATAAATCTGTCATAAACTCCTCTCTTGCAAGTATTAAGCTTTTGAGTGAAAGGGTACTCCTTAACACCTTGGAAGGAGAGAAGGGAACAATGGTTATTGCTAGTAAGGATCCCACTTAGAACTGATGCCAATCACTATTTTAATGCGCCATTAGTGCTGGTTGTCTTGATTATGCTTTTTTAAAATAGCGGGTAAAAAAAATTGATTTACCCCGTTGCCGGAGTCATGGCTGCAAATCTGCAATGCACCCCTGTACCACCTCCCCCTCAACAAATCCAGTTAGCATTGGCCTCCTCCCTACCTCCAGTGCACCCACTTCCTCAGGATTTGGCTGTTCTCCTCCTTCCCTGCCCCTCTGGATTCGACTGAATGTTCCTATGCTTGATCTGGCCAGTGGGTTCTCCTTTGTGCCTTCTGGCCTGATCTGGTCCCCCTGCTGGATGGCGTTGCCAGAGATGGCAAGTGATGACTGCCATGGGAATAGCATGAGGGCAACAGTACCTGCCAACAGCTGCTTGCACATCATTTTCCCACTTTGCAATGGCATCTTTGTAAGCTGAAAATGTATGATTTATCTCTATAGTCGCAACTTTACAGTGGGACATACATATCTAATGTTTACTAAAATAATAGGTAATGATAATGTAATAAGAGCCATATGCATGCAGTACATACTGAATTTTACATGAAAATCCATTACTTTTCTTCTTTTTTTTGAATTTAATTACTGCCAGGGCTTTGCCTCGCAGTGTGATTTTCATTAAAAGAAAAGTATTTACAAACGAATAAATACAAAAAGAGCACTTAAAATATTACAAAGGTTGTAACCAATAAAAAACTATCTGTTTTAATAGGTCCTTCATTCTGCACATATGCAGAAGGACATCCTTCTTGAACAGAGCTCTCCAATCCATTGCTTTTCTTTGTCCTATGTGATGCACTTTGAATCATCTATATTTCCTGATAAATTGCTTATTAATGATGTTGTATGTGGCAGTGTGATGAATATCTTCCATTACGCAAGCAACGTGAAGCGTATGGAAAGTACAATGTTAAGATTACAAATGCCAAAAGAGATAGCCATCAGTTATGGTTGCGTGATGTGATGGTGCAATGCAACGAGGTAATTATATATGCTTTGTTTTTTTGTTCTTCTTACAGGAAAAATATGTCATACATAAAATGACGTAGACAAATAATGTTTGTGTTCATGAACTTTAGTAGGTTTCACCTATCTTAGTCATCTCAACCGTAGAAGGTAATCTAGTTATGCATTTGTTGTTTTCTCAAACCACTAAACCGACATAACCTGTGGAACCCATCCAGCTAATCTGTGAACTCCCCCAGCTTGTTCGAACCCAGCACAGACTGATTTAACCCATGTAAACTGTTAATCTATTTGAAGGTTCGGCTGAGCTACGTATGCAGCCAACCTAACCCTGCATTTGTACAACGCAAGTACTTTCAAGTTATTTTTCTTCCATCCTGCTTTGCTGTCACTCATTCACAATAATCATGACATATTCTGCATTAGCCACTACCAGTACTTCTGGTAATTTAGAAGATATTTTGGATTGAAGTTATAACTGGTTACTGATTTTCATAATGTAGTCAAGCAGGGTTCATTCTGTACGCCATATAGAATATCCTGATTGGCCTGATCATGGAGTTCCAACTAATACTGATGCTGTAAGACAAATTCGAAAATGGTTACAAAATACTCCGATGGAGCATCCTATAGTTGTACACTGCAGGTTCACTTCATCTTGATAAAATGCTACTCTGTGCACGTCTTTTTATTCTCTTTAACATTGTTTTTGTATCTCTGCAGTGCGGGCATTGGAAGAACCGGTGCTTACATAACTATCCATAGTACAATTGAGAGACTTCTCCTTGGTGATAAAAGCTCATATCATCTTGATGAAACTGTCAAAACTTTGAGAACCCAACGAGTTGGAATGGTCCAAACTGAGGTAGGCTAATGTTTCTTTTGGCTCATATCACTTGCTTCCTTTGAAAATACACAGACAAGGCAACAAGTCCAGCGTAATCTGAGCACATCATGGAATGTACACCTAATGAGATAGCAGTAAAAACTTTCTTTATTTTCAGAATGAAGGGAAATTGATAAATTTATATCAATCCTTGATTATGTAACATCTGATACTAAATAGAGTCTCTGTACAATGCAGATGTGCAGTTTGTTTTTTTTTGTGTATGACCATTTGGATGTTCTAATGATACATCTGTTTTTCAGAAACAATACATGTTCTGCTATCGTGCAATTGCTGATGAGCTGAAAGATCTTTTGGAGTCTAACCGCTGAGGTATCCCTAAGGCAGGTAGGTTGCATGATGTGAGACAAAGGGAGTATATAACATCACTGCACAAACATATATGGCCTTATGGCTAAACTATAATTCTCATAGTCTTACTTTATAATTTTACCTTGTAGGAATTATGGACATGTCTGTTTATCTCACCCTTAAATTCCTATAATCTGAATGAATGCCTGATTGGAGCACACCATTTCTGCATTGACTGAACCGTTTGAAGCTTAGCACTTTTATTTTGGGTGCACGATTACTTCTGAATAGATTTGACTGCATCAGTACCGCCATGTCACTTTCATTTCATTACCTCTAAATTGTTGTTATTGCTGCTCTCACGGAATTAAAGAGAGTTAGTAGGTTTAGAACTATTGGTGGCATTGTGCCTGTACTTATTGTGCAGCGAAGAATGGTTCATTGCTTGGATTTTAACGGAATCACGTACCTAATTTCTCGACCGTTTGAACTAAAACATCTACTACATTACTAGCTGGTCAAGCTACAAGGTCTTAATAGCTGAATATTGCGATTTCACGGCAATATCTTCGAGAGACTTACTTGGTAGTGGTACGTAGACCAAAGTCAAAGTTAATTACTTTCTCAGTGCACTTGTTGTGGTACAGGATTTCTCTTAATTGGCATCACTCATTCAGTCATTCTATTGACTTGGGGGAGACTCTTGCCATATTCTTCTACTTCTGTTTTCGTTTACTCCATGTCTCCAATAATTTTAGCTTCTAGAAAGGAAGTCTCTTGGATTGGATGCATTTATATGTGGAAGCTGGACCATTGAATACCTTCTACTTGTCCTAGTAGGAATAATGGCTAGAGAAGCTGGAACAAAGCATAACACTACTAGCAAAGAGGGATCAGATACCAACATGGTTTACATGATCATGAATGTTGAAAGGCTGCAACTTCGGTAGTTTTTTAGTAGTATCATCTTTTGGATGATGCAAACTTCTCACTGAAAACAGCACCTGATCCTTTTCTGCATGCAGTTTACTAAGGCCTGGTGTAGTTCCCAATTTTTTTTCCTTAAAATGTTACATCAAATTTTTAGATACATACATGGAGCATTAAATATAGATAAAAATTAATTGCACAGTTTGTATGGAAATCGCAAGATGAACCTTTTGAGCCTACTTAGTCCATGATTAGCTATAAGTGCTACAGTAACCTACATGTGCTAACGACGGCTTATCTAGTCTCAAAAGATTCGTCTCGTGGTTTTCAGGCGAGTTATAAAGTTAGTTTTTTCATTCGTGTTTGAAAACCCCTTTCGACATCCGATCAAACATTTAATGTGACGCCAAAAATTTTCTTTTCACGAACTAAGCAGGGCCTAAATTACTTTCCTGTGGCCCTGCATATGAGTCATGTAGAATCCTGTCAAAATTGCCAAGTAATGTGACAAGATGGATTACTTGAAGCATGAGCAAGGAAGATTCAGGTAGAATATACTAATCGTAGGTGGACTATACTATTCGCATTGAAGCTGTGGTTGGGGTTGGTTTGTGTCCAATGAGACCCAAAACGTACACAAGTACACACAACGGCTTAAAAGACTTGCCCCTGTCAGTCTGCAACTAAAATTTCTTCTGATTATTGACAGTTGATTACTCAAAAGATCTCATCCAAGCATTGAGTTATAATCAGACGGTCCAAAGCTACCCTAGTTCTTATAGTAGCAAGCAACATATGAGGAATTGCTAGTCTTTGTTGAACATCAACCAGCCTTTTTATCCATATATTTCAGGTGTATTTCATCAATTTCTTTCTTTTTTTAAAAAAAATGAATTTAGCATTTGCAGATTTAGTTTCAGGCCGGCTTTCTGCATGCATGTATAGGGCCATCTCAGCAAACACATTTCTGGTAAGTTACCTACCACTACCAGTCAACTTCACCGATAAAAATACATTTATGAAGATCAGTACATAGATCCTCCATATACACTCCGTCACTGGTATAATCCAAGTATTTAGCAGCAATCAGCTGCTATATATTACAACAACACTGATCGATCGATTGATCAAGCTAGCCAAGCAAGATTAATCATCAATTATTTGGTGCTAAGTAAAAATTAACTCCTAACTAAATCCATAATTTCTGAAAAGGTAAAAAAAAACTCATGAGAAAGATGACTAGTTCAGTGGTTGATGTAGAGGTTGTACTCAACGGTGGCGTCGCCGGTCTTCATGTCGAGGGTGTGGGTCCGGGCCTGGGCGTAGCCGCGGGCCCACCGGAAGACGCCGGTGCCGCCGACGACGGCCATCTCGCGGACGGCGGCGAAGACCTCGTTGCGGCCCATGATGGCGACGGTGCTGCCGTTGTACCTGCCGGACTGGAAGACGAAGTTCATGTTCATGAGCAGCGCCACCGTGTCCTTGCCGGCGCTGACGTAGGTGCCCTGGGCGCGGCCCACCGGCGACGAGGCGTTCAGGTCGGGGCCCGACGTCAGCGGGTCGTCGATCACCACCACGGCGCCGAAGAAGCTCGCCGACGAGTTGGTCGTCGCTGCCCTCGCCACCTGCACCGCCGTCGGGCTCGGCCCGCTCACCACGTCGTGCCAGTACACCTTGATGTGCGTCGTCGTCGCCGTCGTCTCCCCCGCGGCAGCATGGACAGCTCCGGCGATGGCGACCACGGCGGCGACGACGAGGACGAGCTGGATGCTGCGTCGCGAGATGAGCATGGCGGCCATGGCTAATTAACTGTTAGATTATTGGTTGGCAATGGCGCGGCGAGGAAGGTTGGTGGTATCAGGTATGTATTTATGTAGGTTTGGAGGGATTGGGATCCCTCCCTGACTTCATGACTGACATGTAGGCCCCATCGCTCGTGGGCCCACTTGTCGGTGACCATGTTAGCGAGGGAAGTTCACGTCAGAGGATCTGTTTCCGGTTTGATGGGATGCATGGCGTGTTGTGGTGGTTGCGTTGGATGAAATGTTTGGTCCGATGCCTCCACTTGTTGCTTCCACCATGAGTTGACGAGTTCGTTTGGTGTGGAAGAAAGAAGACGAGGACATGGACGAGGAGCCTTGGAAATGCGGTGGAAATAATTCTGAGAAGCAGACGAGGACGAGGAGGTCTCGTTTGGGAAAGCTAAGGGCCTCTTTGAATCGTAGGATTAGAAAAATAGAGAAATAAGAAAAAAAAATATAGGATTCGGATAGGAATGCAAGTGTAAAACAGATGATTGCAAAACACAGAAATTGCCGTTTGATTGGACCGCAGGAAAAACATAGGAATCAGATAAGAGAAATAAACTCAAAAGAAATTTTTCAAGAGGTTGTAGCTCTTGCTAAGATTCCTCCAAAATCCATATGCAATTAACCATTCCATAAGAATTTCATAGGATTTGGAAAGCTTCAATCCTTTGAATCAAATGATCACACAGAAAAAATTCTTATAGGATTTGAATCATATTAAATTCCTACATAAAATCCTTTGATTCAAAGGGGCCCTAAAATTCTAAAAAGCAGCTGACGAGATAGGAGTACTATATAAATTAGGAAATATAGCTTGTAGATTTTAGTTTATTTTTTAATTCTATAACTACAACTTTTTAAAATCTGAATGAAAATCTGAATTGTTTGAGAAGCTTCTAGTGAGAAGCTTCTAGAGATTTTATGAGAAACTATAGTTGTCAGACGCTTGCTTAAATCAGGTCCCTAGTGTTTCTGTGTGTATAGCATCTAGAAGGAGTTGCTTTTCTACATGTGTACTCGTGAGCGCATTTTCGGCGCATCACATCTTCGGATGTCTCGTGGAGTACGTAATTGAAAAGCATACATATAGTTGAGAGGACTTTGTGTTCTCAAAAAAAAAGGAAAAAAGTTGAGGACCTTTGAGGTTTGCCAACCCGAGTTCATGTGTTTGTTTCATATATAACACGCTTATATTTTCTCTTTAAATATTCGATACTAGGTTTTTCCTTGTTATCAAGCACATACTGCATAATTTCGACATTATTGTGTTCATGATGTGGTAGCGAGCGACGACATTTGGATTTTATAATCCACGAAGATGTTGAGAAATTAGTATAGTTGTCCCATTTTCATGAGAGACCATAGAAATCTAATGCAAAATCATTTTTACGTTGTTTTATTTTAGATATTGACTAGAAAAAAAATACCCGTGTGTTACAACGGGTAATATGTTTTTAATCAATACTCCCTCCGTCCAAAAAAAGACAAACCCTGGTTTCTTTGTCCAACGTTTCACCGTCCGTCTTATTTGAAAAAAATATGAAAAAAAATTAAAAAGACAAGTCACGCATAAAATATTAATCATGTTTTATCATCTAACAACAATGAAAATACGAATTATAAAAAAATTTCATATAAGACGGACAGTCAAAGTTGGACACGAAAAACCAGAGTTTGTCTTTTTTTTTTAGGACGGAGGGAGTATATGTTATACTACTTTCTTAGTTTTGGGCTGGAAGCTCATCCCTTCTTTTTCAGCCCCAGCCCAATCTGCTACCTCCCGCCACTCGGGCACCTCTCTTTGGCCCAACCCACAGGTGGAGCCTTGGGTCTAGCTCACACGTCTTCAACCTCTAGAAAGATGGTGCCGTTCTTGCACGATGTCTTCAACCTTTAGAAGATGGTGCCGTTCCTGTATGAAAACAAAATAGAAGACTATGGCAGGGTCTACCCCAAGTCAATAGAATGACTGAGGTTGTGTTTAGATCCCGGGGTAAAAAGTTTTAGCGTGTCATATCAAATATACAAACACACATTTAAAGTATTAAACGTAGACTGAAAACAAAACAAATTACAAATTTCGCCTATAAACCGCGAGACGAATTTATTAAGTCTAATTAATCCGTCATTAGCAAATATTTACTCTGACATCACATTGTGAGATCATGGAGCAATTAGACTTAAAAGATTTGTCTCATAATTTACACGTAATCTGTATAATTAGTTTTTTTCTTATATATTTGATATGAAAAAAATGAAAAATTCTAAGAGGGGATCTAAACAATCCCATTGTCGAGGACTTCCAGGTTTGCCAACCTACGGTGAAATGGGCTTGGGTCGTTAGTGGGGGTTGGTGGCCACTGCCGGTCGGGTCGGGTCGCATCACACGTAGTACGTCACACGCCGTCCGATCCGATCGATCAACACGGTCGTGTGTGTTCTGTTCCGACCCCCGTACGCGCATGTATTGTTGTTACTCGCTCCGTTATAGCGTTAGATAGAACTCCCTCCGTTTCATATTAGAAGACGTTTTAACTTTTTTTTCTAACCAATGTTTTTGTTTAACTAAATTTATAGAAAAAAAATAGTTGCATTATCAACATAAAATAACAAAATAAATATATTATCAAAATATTCAATGTTAGATTTAATAAAAATAAATTGGTATTTTGGGTTTTGCTAAATTTTTTTATAAACTTAGTTAAACCTGATCAAGTTTAACTATAGGAAAAGTCAAATCGACTTATAATATAAAACAAACTGAGCAAGATAGAAATGAATATCTGATCTAGTAATAAGATATATTACTTAAAAACAATTTCTCTATATGAGGATCCTTATAGGTTGCAGACAGACCGTAACGTGTCGCGTTTGCAAAATCAACCATCCATTTTCACATACGGCTCCTTCCTTCAGAGGAGCGCATGCGGGCCTCTTAAGGGGCATTTTCGCATGCGGATCTCTTAAGTGGTCTGTATGTAAAAATACCCCTCATCTCCATAGATTTTTTTTTCCTGAGAAAGCTAGCTAACCGAGTTAGTTTAGGATAATGACAGTAACTAAGGGAAGATTTTTATTTTTTTTTTGGAGATTTGTTTTACTAACAGATTGAAATAAATCAATATGTGAAACAAACTTTCACATAAAATTTAAAACTTTCTATCGAAATATTAAAAGCGATACATAAAATTTAAAACTTTCAACTAAAAATTTGAAACTCTAAACTCAAAATTTTAAAATTTTCAACTCCTCTCCCTCTCTCTTCCTCTCCTCTCCTCTCCTCTCTCTCTCTTCCTCTCCGAGCAGGAGTGAGCGCCACGCGGCACCACCATTTCATTTTTTTCAACTCCTCTCCCTCTCTCTCTTCCTCTCCTCTCCTCCTCTCTCTCTCTTCCTCTTTGAGCAGGAGTGAGCGCCGGTGGGCCGCCGCCACCGACGAGGAGACGATCGGGAGCGGGTGGCGGTAGAGAGAGGCTGCGGCGACGACAGGTGGCGGATCCAGCGGTGCCACCCTCGGGAGGGCCGGATCTTCCGCCCTCAAGAGTGGCTACGGCAACGGCAGGCAATGATGGTGAGCAACGAGGGCAGCGAGTTCAGGCGACGGTGACGGTGGGAGTGACGGCACGGCTGTGGCGAGCTCGGGCAATGGCGGGCTCAGTCTCCGACCTCCCGGATTCCGTCGCCTCTCCTCCCTCTCTCCCTCTTCTTCTTCGATGTCGGTGGCCGGAGGTCGTGGGGCAGCAGATCCGTCAGCCGTCAGCGGATCCATTGGTGGCTGGTGACGGCGACGACGGGAGCAGCTGCGGTGAGCTCGGGCGGCGGCGAGGCTTAGGTCTTTTTTGGGAAATTTTTTTTGGTATTTTTTTGTTTTCACGTGCGGGCGCTATGCCAAAGTCGGATTTTCTCATGCGATTGCACTCGCCGCATGCAAAAAAACCGATTTTTGCATACCTTTAGGTGCACGCGGGCCATCCATTCGCATGCAAAAATAGATTTTGGTCGCATGAAAAAACCGAATTATAGTAGTGATATGTTCAAATCTAGTCCTAACTTGCCCATCATTTAGACGGAGGGAGCACATCATAAGATGTGAGAGTGCCATGTTGCGTAAGAGCAAGCACTATATAAAGACTCATGTTTTGCCGCTAAAAATACCACATAGAATTAGTTATGAAGTGAAGACTGAAGAGAGAGGAATGCCACATAGAATTCCATCTCTCATGCAAAGAGTAATCTCTACACAATCTTTAAGAAAGTGGAAAAAAAATAAAATAGTGTGAGAGTGAGCCCATTAAAGAAGATTTTGGAGTTTGTGGGCTAGAGGTACATGTTATCTCTTAATTAATTTATACCAGATGACATAGCTAGTTAAAATTAGAGGTGGTAGTCACCTCCGCGGTAAAACTTGATCTAATTGTGTCCAAGTCCTCCATTCCTTTTTTTTTTTTTGACTCCATTAATGTTTTAATGTATTTAATCATGTCTTATTCAACTTTTTACAAAATATAAAAATATAATCCATATCTAAAGTACATTTATGATAAAATAAACAATAAGTATATGTTTTGTCTTATTTTAAACCAGACGAATAATCTTCCAAAAATATGTCAAAAAGCGGGGCGTGCGTACGACCGGGGGTGTGGTCTTGGTGGTTCTCCCACTGGCTTGTTGACTTAATCAGCATATTCAGGACCATTCTTTTTTTCGTTCTTTTCTTTTCTTTTTTGTTGCGTCAGGAGTCATTCTTGTTGTAAGCACGTCTCATATACATCGATCTATCTTCTGGTTACCATTAGTCGGTATAATTAGACGGGGTTAAAACTTTTAAGTCCCTATCACATCGGATGTTTGGATAATAATTATAAATATTAAACGTAGACTATTAATAAAACCCATACATAATCTTGGACTAATTCGCGAGACGAATCTATTGAGCTTAATTAATCCATGATTAGCCTATGTGATGCTACAGTAAGCATTCTCTAATTATAGATTAATTAGGCTTAAAAAATTTGTCTCGCAAATTAGCTTTCATTTATGTAATTAGTTTTGTAAGTAATCTATATTTAATACTTTAAATTAGTGTCTAAATAC